TGGTTAGGGTCAACAAAGTCCAATCGAATGAGAGATCGAATTGTGCAGGACACAAACTCGTGGGTTGCGGCTCAAGGTGAAATCGCACCCTTATAAACTCCTTATAGGGACAGTGAATGGAGTGCTGGCCACTGGGAAAAATGATGATGATGATGATGATGATGATGATGATGATGATGATAGGGCAATCGACGACACCCCAGGGCCGTGATTGACAATGCTGTACTTCTTTGTGCATATGGGTTCTTTATTTCCTGCCTGTAGCTTGTTTTTTTTGTGTGTGTTTTCGTTTCTCTCTCTCTCTCCTTTTTTTTTCTTTTTGGGTGTGTGTGTTGTTTGTTTGGTTGCTGATTGGCTTATGACTGCTATTGATGCAGTTGATATTATAGGGCTGTGATTTTGTCATCCAACCACCAAAGTAAACCTGAGACATGCAAACCCCATGGACAAGCAGATGGAGTCTGGGCTCCAACTCTAGTCCCAATTCAAGAACAGTTGGTTCTGGTAGCAGGGCCCTGCCTGATGCTCATCTTCATGAAAGGATCACTGAAGATCAGGGTGCTACAGCCAAGTGTGGTGAAGAAAGTAGATGGTGCATAGCTATCAATTGATATAGTGTCCTGAGTCTTAAAGGCTTGTATTCCAACAAGCAGAGTAACCTCCCTGCTTTTCAAAACTCTAAAGAGGTCTTGTGTTGCAGAGCCACTCAGTGCAAAGTGCCGTTTGATCTCTTGACAGCTGCTTCCGTGAGCACTGATGCATAGCGACCTACAAGATGAAATGGAACTGTCCCTTTGGGTTTCCGAGGCTGTAAACCTTTATGAGAGCAGAAAGCTTCACCTTTCTCCCATAGAGCAGATTGTGTTTTCAAACTATAGACCTTATTGTTCGCGGCCAACATGCACAGAACACACTACCCCACCAGGGCCCCGAAGGAGCTGTTTTGGTCATGTTTTATAGGTAGGGGCCAGGCTGGTTAGTTCTGCCTGACAATGAGAATCAGGAGTTTGATTGCTAAACTCTTTGCAAAAAGGAAATTAAGTGGCATGCTCTGCTCATGGGTCTAGCAAAACTTATTTCCAGTTGAGTTTTCTCTTTGTTGCCAACTTATCTTACCAAGTTTGATGTCCTTTTCCAGGGACTGCTGAGTCCTGATAGCACACCCAAAGCACACGAAATGAAGTCTCACCATCCTTGCTTCTGAGCAGCATTCTGTTTGTCCTTTAAAAAAGTCATTTTATTGGGGGCTCATATGACATTACCTGAGGCGGGGAAACACCAGGGAACAAGATCATGTTCTTTCAAATACCATACCAAGCACTTCTCTCCTACCGTGGGATGCTACAGGAGCAGAGACCATTTGGGAGACAGTTGGTCAACGTGACATTGGGAGGGTTGTCGTGATGTCTCAGAACATTACCTGGAGAGTGTGGGTGAGCCCTCTCCAGGTGGGCTCTCCCAGGAGCTTCCTGTCTTTCTCACAGTCAGCCCCTTCATGCCTTGGATTTCCATCAGGCAGTCACACCCCCGTTCTTCCAGAACATTCCAAAGTTCACTGCCTGTGCACATGACTACAGATGGACCTTCTAAATGAGCTCTGGTACTTATCTCCTATCTTCCTAAGATGCTCGGCTTCTTCCTAGACTCCAACTGTGAGCAATTATCAACGAAGTAGCCAGAAGCCTGCTATCCCTTCCCACCTTCATACTGTGAGCAAAAGGAAAATATACGTGTGTATCCACATGAAAAGCACATATTATCATGAAAGAGACCGGGAGAGTGGCCATTGACCCTTCTGTGGTCTTGTGCTCTCTCTAAGGAAGAGTGGTACCTCCAT